TGAGGGGAGAAAATGACGAGTGCGAGAGAGGATAAGGAGAGAAAATAGCAAGAATATGAGGGGAAAATATGGTGTTTTAACGAAAATACTTCATCGCAAGACCAATTTTGAATTACTCTCTGATGACGTATTTTGGTAACATGTCATTTAGGAATGTAATAGCTAGACTACTGTGTAAATCTGAAGCTGATTTGACGAGGCAGCTGGACTGATATCGGAGAGTCCTCTCTGTGTCTCGTTTATTTCGTTACCTTCTCTTCCCTTTTTTATTGACCTTTCTTTCTCTTTTTTACGTTGTTATTTACAAGCTTCTGTTTCTCTGTGAGATTACTTTTTTTCCTATTACACCCCTCTCCTCTTCTCTCCCCCTTTCCCCTCCTCATTACGCTCTCCCTTCCCCCTCCCCTCTCCCTTTCCCCTTCCCCCTCCTCTTTTCCCCCTTCCCCAATCTCTCTCCCCTTCCTCCTTCCCTCCCAATGACGCCCCCCCCTTCCCTCCCCTCTGCCTTTCCCCTTCCCTCTCCCCTTCCCCCTCCCCTCCTCTCTTCCTTTCCCCTTCCCCTTTCTCTCTCCCTTCCTCCTCCCCTCCCTAATACGCTCCCTCATCCCTCTCCCCTTCCCCTTTCTCTATCCCCTGCTCTCTCCCCTCCCATCTCCCTCCCCCCTTCCCCTTTCCTTCCCCCTCCCCATTACGCTCTCTCTCTTTCCCCTTCCCCTTATTCCCTTTCCTTCCCCCTCCCCTCCCCATGACACTCGCCCCCCTTCCTTTCCCCCCTTCCCTTTCTATCTCCCCTTCCCCCTCCCTTCCCCATGACGCCCCCCCTTCCCCTTCCCCTTCCCTTTCTATCTCCCCTTCCCTTCCCCTTCCCATAACGCCCCCCCTTCCCCCTCCCTTACCCATGACGCCCCCCCTTCCCCCTCCCCTTCCCTTCCCCCTCCCCTCCCCATGACGCCCCCACTTTCCCTTTCTCTCTCCCCTTCCCTTTCCTTCCCCCTCCCCTCCCCACAACGCCCCCCACTTCCCTTTCTCTCTCCCCTTCCCCCT